ACAAGCTATCTCTGTGCGAAATGTCATGCAAATCTGTTCAGTCGTTTGCGCGTATTAATTTAATTAAAACTTTTTTAACAGGTGGCAACTATTCTAAAAAATTAGGCTATTTTCCACTGTAGGTCATAAGCTATCTGCTTGCAAAATTTCATGCAAATCCGTTCAGACTATTCCGCGTATTAATTTAATTAAACTTTTTTAACAGGTAGTAACTCTTAAAAAAGTAGCCTATTTTTCAAACTAGCTCATAAGCTATCTGTGTGAAAACTTCCATGCAAATCAGTTCACTCATTTCCGCGTATTAATTAAATTAAACATTTCTAACAGGTGGCAACTCTTAAAAAAAGTAGCCTACTTTCTAACCTAGGTCACAAGCTATCTGTGTGTAAAATTTCATGCAAATCCATTCAGTCGTTTCCGCGTATTAATTTAATTAAACTTTTTTAACAGGTGGCAACTCTTAAGAAAAGTAGCCTATTTTAAAATCTAGGTCATAAGCTATCTGTGTGCAAATTTTCGTGCAAATCCATTCAGTCGTTCCCGCATATTAAATAAATCAAACTTTTTTAACAGGTGGCAACTCTTAAAAAAATAGCCTATTAACCAATCTGGCCCATAAGCTATCTGCGTACAAAATTTCATGCAAATCCGTGCAGTCGTTTCCGCGTGATGATTTTCCAAACATCCAAACATACAAACTTTCACATTTATAATATTATTAATTAATTAATTAATTAATATTAATATTAATAATAATAATGGCCATTCAATTTATTTGAATACGAGGAGCGTCTAGAAAATGTTGATAATACTGCAATACGTTATTTTGCAGTGAAAGCTAAAAAACAAGATCCACAAACCAAAACTATTTATATTCATATACTGAGATTAAAAGTGTTTCTGGCAGTTTCCAGTTGAAATATTTATTACTTTCTTTGCAAATATTCAAAAATATTTGCGAATCGCACCGTTTCAAATCGTACGATTTGCAGAACAAGCCAGATTATCATATTACATACATACATACATACGTTCTTATATACAACAATTAAGCTTTCGGGCCTATTAGTATGCTATATGTATATGTAAATAGAAATGTGTTAAGACTTCTATTGTATAATACAAAGCGAGTGCCTGGTTTTTGAGTAAGAAATGCAGACGAATCACACGCATGCATACATACACTCAAACTTACATACACACATCCATGCATACATATTGGCAAAGCTGCATTAGTAAAATTAAGCGTATCGAACCTATACATACATACATACAGTATGTAAATGTACATAAATAAATAATACATTTTTTTGGGTGTAAATCTAAGGAGTTTTTAATCACTATAACCAAACCATAAAGAAAAAAAAGAAAAAAAAGAAACTGGTTAAAAATAATGTATGCAACTAGATGTAAGTTATTCTAAATATCGAAAAATCAGCCCACCTTGAAATTACATATTTGTTATATACCTGATAAAGATTTAAAGAAGCAAAACTAAGGCAGTGTCTAAAGATATTGTAATTATTATTGTTATCATCGAAAGTTATTACATATATACATTAATACGTTCAAAGCCATGAAAATATGGGAAGAGGATATACGAAAAACTAAGCAAACAGTGTAAAGATAAATGTAGGAAGCAATTCTATATACATACATACATACATATGTATATATGGTTTGTACTTGTTCACTAAGGTCGCAAGTATGTTTATGTATGTTAAACAATCTCGTAAAAATCAATAATAAACAAAAACTAACTGTAAATACGAGTACGCTGGGCGTGAGCGCGAAGAATTTAAAATTAAAAAATGTTATAACCGGTGCATAGTATGTGCATATGTATATATAATACAATATATATATGCGTTAAGTAAATTTACTTCTTCCGAGTGAGAAGTTCATGAAGTTACGATTTTCCGTGAATAAATGCAACAAATGGCAAAGGAAAGGAAAAATAAATAAAAAAATTACTTCGAAAGTAAAAATTTAAAGTGTAAATTAAAATAAAATTATTAAAAGTAAAACTCACCACACTAGACAAATGTATTAGCATTTATAGAAATCAAAATACTATTAGATAGTAGTCCTGTTCGCGTACGCACTATCCAGTAAAATCCAGTACTAATTTTACTGGTTTTTACTGGATGTCGTTTTCGTACGCAAAAACTTGCCTGAAACTAGCAAAAGAGGGGAAATTGAGACAGCAAAAATGACAGCTGAACTTGCAAGTTTTACTGGATTTTTACTGGATAAATGTTTACTAGCAACTATTTGCTAGTAAGAAAAACAGTTGATGGCATGATGCTTAACGTAATTCACATTAACAAAATAATTGTTTGTAGTTCTTTTAGAATTGCAATTGCAAAATAAACCTATTTAAATATATAACAAAATGGGAAATACTAGTTTTCTAAGAAAATTGCATCGGAAAATTTTAAATTAATCAGCTGTTCATACCAGGGTCCGCAAATAATTATCCTTTGAAATTTCAACTCAAAAAATCACGCTGAAAGAGAAATGTTACGAATATAAGGAGTAAACAAATATTTTTCTTATTTCGCGGAATACCTTCAGCGGCACTGATTTTTATATTTTAATTTTTAATTATAAAAATCAAGTTTAATCATTATATTTTGAGTTTTATTTTTTGCTCGGAAAATAATGGTTACGTTTTAAGTTTTATTTTTTGCTCG